AATATAACATATAATGAGTCACTTCACAGAATTTCACAAAAAAATAAAATTTATTAAAGAATCGTTGACTTGATAATCGAGAATGTTAGGAAGGTTAAACTTTAATTCAACTTTCATCTACAACAAAATAAACTTGCAAAGGTAAGACCGCGATGACTGAATCGGTGAAAATTGTCAAAATTTGATATTCAAAATATAAAAGACATGGTACATAAATATATGGATCTGTTTATTATTTATTCTTATATCCACAATTATTTGTACAAATTTCTAATTAATTGCCTTACTTTTTTTTCAAAACATTTATTTAGTTAGGCAACTTCACTTGGGCAATACCAAAACAATTTGTGTAGTTTTTTTTTTTTTCTATTTTCTTTTAGAGTTTTAAAATCAACCAAAAGGAGAAGAAAGAAAATTGGAGAAAAAAAAAGAGCAGGGATCGTACAGTTTGGAACTATGCAAGGAAGAAACTGAAGATTTTCTTCGTTGTCAAGACGGGTTCGCTTCCAGCCAGCGTCGCATTCACATACGAAGTTAAACGGAGACCCAATTGCTGTCTTGCAAGTTCCTTTCCCACACTCCACTTCATTGCATAGGCTGTCTGTCAATCAACACAACACTTCTCAATATCTAAATTTGTGTGCGTGTGTGTGTGTGTGTGTGTGTGTGAGAGAGAGAGAGAGAGAGAGAGAGAGACCACTGATAGGAGGGAGCAGGAGATATATGATCATCTGCTTTTGCAATAACTGCTAGTAGAACCAGAATTACAGCCAAAGAAGCCATTAAATTGGAGGAAGCCATGGTTTCAGCGACTAATAACTAGTAAGAGGATGAGAGGGATGGTGAAGATGAAGGTAAATTATACCTTGCGGGTATATATATAAGCATCGAAAGCTTGAACTTTTCTTCATCCATTAGAAGCTTCTACAAATATGAGAAAAAAATACATTTCAAAGCTTTACAATTGCTGGCCGTATACGTTGAGAATCACTAGTCAATTACCTATACAGTTTCTTTGTGTTTGAACCTTTCATCTCCCTGACCAAAACAAAAAACTTTCCTCTCCCCTTCCGGTCTGTTTTGAAAAGTCCGCAATAACAAAAAAGCAATACTATTTAAATTTAATTTTATTAACTTAAACACTACTTGCTCTTAGATTGACCGAGGGTAATTTGATTTTTGAGACCCGTTACTAATTCAATGATTTTTTTAAAATTAGATGAAGAATTATAATTCAATGTTAGGGTAATGGCGGGGTGACAGTGGAGAGAGATTATAAATTCTTATTCATCACATGAGGCGATCAATTGAGATTATAAATAATATTCCAGATTTTCTTTCATTGGTAGTTTTCTATCAATTTGTAGAAAAATAAGCAAAGTCATTGTGGTCCGTTCCCTGCCGTCATGGAAGCTTCGAACAAGTCTGATTTGAATGGGGAGAATACATGTGATTTATCAACCACTTTACATTTTAATTTTTGTTACTAAATTAACATATTTATAAGTAATTCCCTGTAATGTTACGTCGGGTTGGGATACGGGTGGCGATGACGATGAAGATGAAGTGTGCTTATGGGGTTTAATTTGAGCTGAAAGGCTCTAGGGAATAATGTTTTCTAGGGAGAGAGGTGGATTGCAAATGGAGTTTGTTGCTCTTGAAATATATATTGATGATTATGAGAGGATTACACAGTATTCTTGGTACAATTTTGGTTTTTTTTTTTTTTTTCCGTAGTGAGGACATTGTACAGTATTTATAACCTAATTCCTAATTTTATGGGGTCAGTGGCGAGATCTTTGCTTTCCTTCTGTAATATCTCACTTGATTTCAGGAGATGGTTTGGGCAACTGAGGATCTTGCATCTTGACTGACGCTTACTGCTGTTGAGGGAGCGCTTTGTTGTTGCCTGTTGTCTTCTACTCACCTTCTTCGGGGTGCAGGTCGAGGAAGCCCCAGGTCTGGACCTCTGAGCTCAAGCTCTCTTGGCTGAGCTCCCTTCTTGAGCTCAGCATCTGCCCCCCAGTCCCTGGTCAAAATGTGTTTGAGCAGGGGCTGAGCTGCGGTTGAGTTGAGTTAAGCCTTCGTGTGGTGACCTCGATTTGCGCATGAAAAGACCTTTTTGACAATTTTGTGCAATAATTTCTTCCACGTTTCTCGCGCATGTCCCGTATTTTGAAGACCCACGTACACCAAACTTTAAATGCCTTTGAAATGATCGAAACCCCTCACTTCTTCGTTCGATTTCTCTTTCTAGACTTTACCTTCTTTCTTCCTTGTGATTTTAGCTTCCCCAATCTGCTGACGTTCTTAGGGTTTCACTGAAAATCGATTTCCCTTGATTTGATTTAAAGGCTTTGTGAGGCTTGCTCTTTGATTTCGTTTTGGGCTTTGATTTGTCGCTCTTCCTTGATTAGGTACACTTCTTGGCTTTTGTTTATTTCTTCATTCTGAATCCCTCAAATCCGAGGTGGTTGCAATATTTTTGGACCTTCTGTTTTTGCTATTTTAGGAATCGAGGTTATTCCTTGTCTTCCCTTTCCATATTTCTGGACCCTTACTCTACTACTAGAGTCTTCCTGGCTGGTCCCTGAAGTCTTGACCCCTTGACTTTCCAGGATTGTTTTTTAGACGTTCCCCCTCTTTATAGCTTTTTAAGACTTCCTTTCTCCTGTCCAGTTATGTCTGCCTCTTCCAAGGCTACAACCTCATTTGTTCCCCTCATGGGTGATAGGTCTGCTGAAGAAGATGTTAATTTAGGAGACGTGGGTGAGGAGATTGATAACTTTCCTTGTGTCAATTTTGTCGATGCTGAGGATATAGTTGAGGAGCCCCCCCATCATCCTCCACTGTGCCCCAGAAATCCAGAAAAGGTAGTTAAAGTGAGTGGCGTTGGAGTTTCTGGCAGTGCTGAAGGCGCAGAGGCTGCCCTAGAGCTTCAAACCTCGTGGGTTGTAGCAAGGTCACATTTCCTTACATGAGGGTCTTATCCGCTCATTTCGATTTTTCTCATGATTTGAAGTGTTGGCGCCCAGACAAGGACATTCGGTATGACTCCCCCATCCCTAAGAAAGTCTATTTCTTCATGGCCGCTCTTGAGAACAACATTCGTTTTTCAATGCTCCTTTTCCTTAAGAGTGTCCTGCAAGATTTTAACGTTTGCCCTGATCAACTTTCCCTAACTTTTGGGGTGTTCTAGGGGGTCTCCTTGTTTTCTTCAAGAAACACGATCTTGGAGTTCCTACCGTGTCTTTGTTCATGAAGTTCTTCAATGTCAAGTATATTCTTTCCGATGGCTTCTTGTATATTTCCAAACAGGTAAAAACCCGCACTATGATTATTGATCTCCCAAGCTCCCACAAGGGTTGGAAGAGGCTTTTCTTCTTTATGTGGGACAGAGAATGAGAATACAATCCTGAAAATGTTGCTGACACCCTTCCAGTGCCTCGGGCCTGGTCTGCCCTTGATAATCTGGGTAAGCCCTACTTGAGTAAGTTTAGATTAGCCTAGACAACTTATTCCACTGACTTTGTTCTGCTTGTTTTGTTTTGTTCTTAAGGTATTCGTCTTGAACTCAACGCTGAGGACAAACGAGTTTTGCTGAGCTTAGATGATTGAGATCCATTGAAATATTTTGAGCTTACCAATCCCAAATTGCTCACTGAACTTGGGTTTAGTCCTCTTGAGGTGAGGGTTGAAACTCCTATCCCCATTTCTGTGTTTGGAGTAGAGGAGGTAGCAAGTAACATTTCCTTCTTTTGTCCTTTAACTTTTATCTCACTTCTTCCTTCTTCCTTTTTGACTTGTTTGTTTTGATTTTTTTGGTTCTTCCTCAATGGAACCTACCTTGAAAGATTTTAAGGCAAAGGTTGACCTGTTGAAGAAAACCAGGAGTGGGGGTAAGCACAAGGCCGAGGCAACTTAGGGAGCGGTTCAGTCTCCTCAACCAAGGTTTTGAGGTTAGAGGTGCCACCTGTTTTTCCCTCTTTGTCCCAAATAGCTTTCATTCCTCCAGTAAGCTTGCTGAAGATTATACAGTCCTTTCTTCCTCAAGGGACTAGGCCCCCCCTCTGGAGCGGAACTTGAGCAAAGTGCAGTTTTAACCTTTCCTTCCTTGGTAGAGGTCAAGGGATCCTTGGAGGCCATTGGCCGTATTCTGCCCTGCTCTCCCTTCCCCAGGTCGACTGAGAAGTCCCCTCAACTATTCCTAAAAGGTTCCAAGATTGAGAAAGGCAAGCATTCCCTTATTGATAACGTGAAATGTGCTGTAGATGCCATTGCCTCTATCATCCCTGAGTCTGACATTCCAAGGCATGTCAATATGCCCCTTGGGACTTGCATCTTTACGGCCTTGTACGGGGCTACTTCGGTAAGTTTATGATGATTTGTTTTTATGTTCCATCTCTATCTTGCATTGTCACTTTATGCTAACTTCAACCTTTGGTTGTGTTTGTTCCTAGATGGCCATTCACATGAGTGGTTTGCTTAGTTGGATCAGAGCTTTTGAGAGCTCGGCTAAGGCATCGAAGGAGTTTGAGCTTAAGGCTATCGAGTTGACCTTTGCTAATCACGACCTTAAAGCTTAAGTTCAAGACTTGCATGCACAGGTGGAGAGGCAACATTCTATCATTAAGGGTTTGGAGATCGAGAAAATGGAGATTAGAGATGGGACCAGGAAGACTGAGTAGGAGCTCAAGAAGACCAAAGAGGAGCTTAGGTTGAAAACTGCTGATTGGGTTAAAGCTAGCAAGGAGGCCTTCGAGGCTTTGGATTCTTATGCGGGCATGAAGAGGGAATATGATGTTTTGACTGAAGCAAATGATGTTCTTCGGAGTGAACTTGAGGTGCAAAGAGCTGCCGTTAAACAGAAAGTTACTCTGGTTGCTAAGCTGGCAAATGATGTCACCACCAAGTAGGCTACGGGGTACCTTGTTTTCCAAGGCCAAGCTATGCGGACGTATCTAGACTTGGATTTTGACTTTGAACCCCCTTTAGAAGAGGAGGAGGAGGAGGAGGAGGAGGAGGAGGAGGAGGAAGAGGTGCCCAGTGTTGAGAAAGAGGCTAGGGCTTTAGCTCTATTTGCTTTTGAACTTGATCCTAAAGGTACTGAGGTACCTACTTCTACTGCCGAGGTCCTTGCCCAAGAGGTTTTTTCTACTTCGGCTACATTTGCAGCTCCCAATTCTGTCCCAACTTCTATTTTTGTGATTGTCGAGCTGCCTTTTGTTCCTTCTGATGCCTCTGTTGGTGTTCCCCTTTCTGCCGACCTTCCGCCTCAAGCTCTTATGTTGGCTTTGCCCCCAGCTGGAGTTGAGGTCCCTGCTTCTGCTCTACCTAAGGTTCCTCTCCCTTTAACTACTCCTGAACCTTCTGGAGCTTCTGCTACTGAGCTGCCAAACCCTTCTTTTTTGTCCTACTACAGAGACTTAGGATTCTTTGAGAGACTTCTATTTGTTGTTGTTTTTTTTATACTACTTCTTTTGGGAAACGTAAATATTAATTTCTTGCACTTTGCTTTCTGAATTGCTGTGTTTCTAATCGTTGTGCTGGTAATGTAAATATTACTTCTCTATTTGTTGTGTTGCTGTGCTCTTGC